GGCCGCCGCGCTGGACACAGGCCCGTCACGTGGTCGGCCGGCCTCCCCGCTCGCCCGCCGACGCACCCCGGTGCCACCGTGGAGAGGAGACACTCTGGCCCGTGGGTGTGTAGTAGTACGTGGGTGCTCGCCTCGGGGATGGCTGAAGGAGTACGGGGGTGGGGTTTGAAAGAGGTGGGCTGGTGGCAGGCGTTGCAGTTCGCCAGTGCCGCTGGGCATGGTGAGCGCCAAAGGTTGAGCGGCTCAACTTGAGCCATGCGACGTGTGGGTCTGGTGCGAGCACAAGTGGTGACATTTGACTCCTGCTGCCGTAGTCGGTGACATTTGGACCGGCTTGGGTGCTTCCGGGCGGAGGGCGTTACGGGTGAAAACCGACGGCAGCTGGCGGGATTCGAACCACCGCTGTCGGCTCCGAATGTCAGCTGATGACAGATTGAGGGCCAGCTGTGCGACAGGCACCACTGCTCGGTATCTCAGCATCAGAGCCTTGCTGAGTTTGACAGTCTCTGCACCAGAGGGTCTTATGAATTCCTGAATAACGACGCGAGAATCGAACTTTGACGAATTGATCTCGTCTGCTCCCCGGCTACCTTTGTGAGAGATTTGATAGCCGGATGTCAGGGATGACTTTATGTACCATTTGTTTTGCAATTCAAACCGTCCCCTGCTGTAGTATAGATGGGCGAGCCGCCAACCCTCTGTCGATCTCCCGTCTAAAATTCAGCCCCGGCTGTCACCGAAACCTCCGCGATGGTCGTTCAACTCTTACTACCCTTTCAGCATACTGCCCTTGAGAGATTCGCAGAATGGACTATGCCGCACGGTAACCTCGAATTGGGCCTTACATTTGGTCTGCTAACCCAACGTAGATCAGACATTACCATTGGAATTGGCCGTCTGGGTCCTTTGTCCAGTTTGCACAGCGGATGCAATCACATCCAAACGTTCCGCCGTGCCGCGGAACGGCCTCTGCGGCTGCAGCGCGATGGACATTTGCTCTGATCGTGAATGGAGCTCGGCGCGGCTCCCAGTAACCGATGGAGCTCCGCGCCGGGGCCGATGGGGTCGGACGGAGGCAGTTTGGGCGGCTACACACCGCGAGGTACGGCGGTGGTTCACTGGGGAATACAGCCGGTGGTAGTGAGGGGAGCGGACGGCTCGGCGGCGTCCCTTGTCTCTGTGATGTGGGCTATGATGTGATCCTGTGGGGTGGATTGTGGCATGTTATTGTGTTAGGCAATGCGGCCAGGTGTGGCTTGATAAAGGATCAATGCTATAGGTCATGTGACGTGGGACTGGGATGAACTTTGGTGGTATTTAGTGAGTTAGACCTAGTATTTAGTGGCCTGGTGTCACCCTGTGGCCTGATCCTTCGGTACGACCCGGTGCGTCTGTGTCCTGTCGGTCGCGGTGTCGGGTCCGCTGCGGGTCCCGCTGTGGGTCCTGCGGTGGAACCCGAGACCTCTGTCACCGGCCGGCGGTCACGGGTGGACGAGCGGCGCCACCACTTTCACCTGCCATCCGGGCCCGGTCTCCCTCTGTGGACACTGCACCGTCCTGGGCCCGCCTCATAAAACATCACACATCACAGCTACGGACGGCTGAGGAACGGAAAGGAACGTCTGATAAGCAAAACGAGCTCCCGTTTCCAAAAGGAGCTCCTGAATTTCTAGGTAACGATGGCTGCGAACAGGCTCTGGCCTGGAATGTTGATGACGGTGTTTGTTTCGATTCGTGGGCCAGGTGTATGAAGGCGCCCCGCGGCTCACGACACTCTTGTCATCCGGCTCAGCGGCCCCGACATTATGGACCAGTGCCGGCTCCCGACATCACGCGGGGCCGACTGACCCGACCTCGCCTGCCAGTAGTAGGCTCTTAGGCTAGTCATCATATAGCTGAAGTCTGCAGGATGGTCATTGAGCGCTTCAGCAGGTCCATGGTTAGCAGCAGGACAGAAGCGGCCGCTCCAGCACTCAACAGCATTCTTAGCGATCAGCAGCAGTACTCCGTGGTCAATCGGTCTTTGCCATCCTTCAAGATGCGGCCAATAGCATGGACATTGGGACAAGACTCAGCACTGGCTTTTGATCAAGCGCCCAGCCGCTATCACACTACTCGAGAGTAAACGATGACCTCTGAAGTGCGAAGAGACAATTTCAGAACCTTTGAAGGCCCACAGTGGTGCTTGGTGGCTTGGCATGACAATTTGGCGTGAGGTGCTTCAGGCTCGGCGAAGAATTATGAAAACGAAATAATGCATGAGCACAGACGACCACCCATGACGCTCCGGACAGCTGACATACAAGGTCAGAAAGTGGGCGGCATACGACCACAACAGCTGTGGCGGCCTTGAGCTTCAAGCCATCCGCGGCACAAATGCCAGCTCAAACACCGAAAGATTCCGAGAAGGTTTACCCACGCTTGTAATCTTCTTCCACATGCTAGCGAGCTTTCCAGCTTATCAGGCCACGGAACTGGTCGGCGGCCCACAGCTGCCCATCTGACAAGGTGGCGGTGGCAAGATGCCGAATTGAACAGACTTCACCTAGTGACTTCTGACCTGGGTAACGAAAGCCAATAGGCTTGTCCTCATCTCAGTTCAACGTGCTCAGTTCAACGGTTCAACGTGCCCCTGCTTCGCGCACTTCTTTTCCTTGGTAACCATGGCAATGGCAGTTACATAAACGCTCCCATTGACTGCTGACAAATAGAGAAAAAAATTGTTTGCAGGCCGCGAAGTGCAACTCACTGAGAGATAAGCGCCAACTCCACACACACTCTCTTGTGCCAGCTGATGTCGCCTGGTCCCGTCGTCCTTTGGACTAACGCGCTGCTTTCTCAATAAGCTCCCCCAAGTGGCCGTTTCTTGCACTGCCGCGCGCCGGATGGCTCCTCTGTGGCACCACCCTCGGCCGTGCCAAAATCGTGCATAGGCCGGATTATTCTGCCGCGCACCGGATATGAGCAGCATTGAAAAGCAAATGCTACGGCTCGCGGCTCTGTATAATGGGTATGGTTGCCGGCGTTGCGCGTCTGAGAAAGCTGGCGAAATGGCCACTCTGCTTTAGCTTATCGCTTGACATCAAAGCATATGGGGTGGAAGGGGCCCGAAAGCTGAGGAGATGATAGTGGAGCGAAAACGGATCCAGAGTCGTTTTGCATTCCAGGGAGGTGACTCACTAAGTACCGGCTTGATATTGGATAAGTGTGATGTGTTTTTGGATGAATAATATTAACTTTGGCCAGTTTTTCAATTATTTTTAGACCCTAACTCAGGCTATTTTTGTTGAATTATAGCTCTCTGAGATATTCCATCTCAATAAAGGAACTAACGGCCTTGCATCAGATACCATTCAAATTTAGGTACAAAGTCAAGTCGAACTTCCGCGGATTCGCATAGGCTAATTCTGGAACAATAGCGATTTACTGTTCGATACTGCTAAAATGCTTCCCATGTGCATCAAATTGCAATTCGACGCACATGTGGCGAAATCTTCTCGATCACATGACCTTTCTGTTCTTGTGGGTGGCGTGGGCGGCACCTTTTACGGAAACTCGCGATTTTAAATTTCTCCCGAAAGCCTACGGTGTGCCGGATATTTTGAAGTTCCCATGAGGTATTCATAACATCGTACATGCTGGTTGAGTTTCTGTGGATACCCTCCCACTAAACAAGCTACCTTGCGGAGGATAAGGATTTTCTTATTAATTGAAATAAACTATCTCCGCCAAGCCTGCATCCGCTCATTGACTCCGTTCTTTACGTATGTTGTTGAGGAGACCTGTCGCGGAGGGCATGAGTGCGCACCTGGCTTGTGACTGCCCGATCTTAGTGAGGCGTAGGCTGCAGGGTCTGGCAGGTCAACGCCGCTGAAATAATGCGAACAGGTGACCTGTAAAACAGTCTGCTGGCTTGGTATTGGATAGACCAAAGTCCGATTACTGACGATGGGGCTCAGGGATCGAACATGACGCGTTGCTGTCTTTCTGGCTGTTTTTTTAGATCGTGGCTGGCATCGCTGCCCGTCAACGGGCCGCAAATTATCCCCATCTTCGCCACCGATGACGTCACGATGACGTCATGGCCCCTCATGGTCGTCACGCCTGTCTCAATGGACGAGCGAGTATGCGGTCCGCGCTATTTTTGTGGGACGTGCGAACAGTGCTGGTCGGTTGCCTGTGTGTACCGATGTTGTTGTTCGCCGCAAATATCCAGCTAACAAACACTGTTGGCTGGAGGGCGGCATCCTACCGTTGCAGCGATATCGGCGTCGATTATTTCAGCGTCTATTCCGGACCCGATGAGTGAGCTGTGAAAACATCGCAGTACCTTCAGCAAACAGGATACACACCGCGCGGCAATTTGTCAGCCGGGCTGTGCTGTTTTGTGTGCACCTGTCACCAGCAGCTGCAGTGGCCCGCCGCGTCCAGCAACAACGCCCGCGGCCGACGGCTGCAGGGGATTAAATACGCCGAGTTCATTACTGCTGTACTTTGTCGCCGGCGATTGCTTCCAACATAAACCGTGATGTATTGTGGCTTGTAAGTGCTGGCGAGCAAACGGAAAGGTGGGTCTGCACGGGGTCGGTACAGCTGTGCATGGTATCAGTACACACTCAGAGGCCGCTGTTTGCTCTGACACTGCAACTAGTGCACTTAATGAAAACGCGATGCGAGCCAAGTTGCATTTATTGTGGACTGTATCAGTCGCTCTGGGGATTTCTGATGATTGCATGCAGTAAGGTTGATACTTCAAATAGAACGTTGAACACCAAACATAACGAGTGAGCAGCCTCATATTCACGTGACATCCTTGGTACCTAAGAGCGATGAATGTGCACGAAATGTGCTGATTCTATGAAAGATCATAGCCTCACATCACTCCTTTCTCCTGGTTTGATTATCGCTCTCGCTTATATGCCCTGCGACCTCCATTATCCCCCCCCCCCTGTCGGCTCAGCAGACGTTCGAATCTCACCACCTCTCTCTATTTGTTTCAGAGGGTCTGCGGGAGTACTTCAGCCGCTTTGGCGAGGTCAACGAAGTGATGGTGATGAAGGACCCGACCACCCGACGCTCCCGGTGAGTTCTCTGGTGTTCGAGGGACTGGCACTGCCCTGCCTCATCGACTGTCAGTGTCCCGCCCCTGGACTGTCCCCGCCCCCTCGTAGATCGAAAATCAGACCGTCCTAAATCTTGGGCCGCCTTGGTCGGTTGTCATTTCATTTCCGCCGATAGGTCTAATTTTATTGTATGTCGCGATTTGTTTGATTTCGCCGACCCGTTTGCTTCAATATCCGGTCTGGCGGCTTATTTTTACTTGGTTATTTCTGTCAGGCCTGTTGGGTTCATGACGTCAATGAAAGCGAACTCGGAAAGCGGCCGAGCGATGTGACGGGAAATCGTTTGCCTATCTTGATCTGAGAACATTTATGGAGAGATATGTCGGGGATACCTCCAAACAGTCATGTTGAACACTGCATCTGCCAGACTGCTAGAGCTTCACGGCGTTGTTGAACCCTCGTACAACAACTGCTTGGCACAGCTGTTGGACCCGTCTCCCGGCACAGCTGTGGAGCTTCCACATCTCATTAGCACAGTCTGCCGAGCTGCGGGAGCCGTGGGAGCTGCCGGGAGCTGTCGCCACCGGAGCTGCCGCAGCTGTCGAGCTGCCGCAGCCCGCTGGCACAGCTCGGCAGCCGTCGCGGGGGGCGGATGCTCGCGACGCGCGCCTGATCCGTCCCGGGAGCGCCGTCAGCCGGTGTTTCGCCCCCGGACGGGTGTGGTGGCGTTTATTTGGCCCGTCTGGACTGACGAGTCCCCCGCCCGTGGTTGTTGAGGTCGGGGGGGGGGGAGTGGGTGACGCCACTGATCCCTTCATCACTCCGGATATGGAAGCGACGTCCATCGAGAAACAAGGAGTGCTGCAGATAACAAAATTGAAAATGTCATACGACTGCTTCATCTATTCATCTATTTCTCGTTGGCCCTACGTGAAAGCATCTCATCGGTCATTTGTTAGTTCGACGTTTAAAAATGTTATTGTTATTTCGTTTATGCGTTTTTACTTTGCGCTAGTCTGCCCATCGAAATTGCAGCAGCCTTTTCCCTTGGCCCCTAAATCTATTAACTTTTCGTGGCGCACACTTGACAGTGTCTCCTGTCCTCACGTCACCTTGTCTGCGGTGCTGCTGTCTGCCACACCCTCCAGTGTCGCCCCTCGCCGCCACCCCGGTCCCCTGACTCGGCGACCGGGCTGACTGCGCCGGCCTCCTCTGTCCGTCCACCTAGTAACAGGACAGCGAGGTCGCCGCCGGCCCCTCTCGTCACGCGGTGAAAACTCTGCGCCAGCGGCGTCGTGGGCCGCTCTGCACGGTCGCTGCTACTACGAATCAGACGCCGTGGAGACTGGGACGTCGCTGCAGTTCATGGCTTAGCTGTCGCCTCGGCCCGTATGCAGATTTCGGAGCCTGGGTGAGGTTAAAACTGACCGGAGGCCTCACGACCGCGGCCGACAGACGGGTTTGTGGACAGCTCATGCTCCGTGCAGTGACGTGGCCAATGGATCACGTGGGCTAGCACGTGGACGGCACACGTGGGCGTAAGATCACACATGGACGGCATAGCCGACGCAGTGGACACGGCGACACCGCACCGGCCGCCCCAGAGAGATGGTATCAGCCGGCGCCGGTAACCCGCCGCTGACCGTCCATACGGCAGTCACGTGAGCCTCCGCACACCGCTAGCCCATCTGATAGCGGAGCTGACGGCTCAGCAGTGCGGTCCCGACCCTGCGGCTGGCGGTGACCTGCCGTTTGTTTGCAGAATATGGGCCGTTCACGAGTGCCGTGAAACAGATTCGTGAGATTTGTTGATAGTAAGGTTCAAAGTATGGGCCTTGATGGGCTATGTGATGCACAGATGTTGCTTACTCTATGCTTTACATAAGCTCTGAATTCGAAATTATGCAATCGTGCAGGAGCATCACTGACGCTAGCCTTGGTGCACCCGCCGCTGTTGCCAGCTGCACTACCCAACCAGGAGGCCGGTCCTTGGCTCTAACCAAGTCACTGCACGCCCCTGAACGCACTTGTCTCGACCCGGAGTCGAGAGCAGGGCGGCCCGGGGATGCAAATGACATGGAGATGCGCCCCGCCCGCGACACGGCTCCCCTGAGTTACTGATATCATTACCGAGCTGGGACCGGCCTCAAATCGTGTCCTTTCTGCGGGCAACGGCATACGAACGAAGCGGGGATGTGCGCGCGGCGCGGGGGCGTCCGCTGGTCCAGCTGGTCCGCTGGGCCGCTGGTCCCGCTGGTCCGTTGGTCCCGCTGGTCCGTTGGTCCCGCTGGTCTGCTGGTCCGCTGGTCCCGCTGGTCTGCTGGTTCGTTGGTCCCGCTGGGCTCGCTGGCCCATGCACTGGTCCGCTGTTCCACTGGCCCGATGGAAATGTGTTTGCTGGTCGGAGGCGCCCTGTGTGCTGTACTGGGCTCTGCCGCCCACGTGCCCAACCTGGGCCTTGTTAGTCCACCGCTGACGTGTTTTTGCTCGGGCTGCGGTACACATTCTTTGTTGGGAGCCAGACCGAAGCCAACCTGGTCGTCCTCAATAGGCAAGGCCCTCGAGGCTGGTCCTACATGCAGTCATGCGAGGACGCCGTTGCAAAAAGAGATTGCCAATACCGTCGAACGGGGCGCTCCCTGTTGGTGGGTACTGGGTTTAGCCCGACGGCGATCGGCCGTGACCGAAGTGCCCTTAGCAGCAGGAGACCGGACCAGCCCTGGCCGCGTTTTCCGCGAACGCAGATAGTTATCATCTAGTGAGAACTCCAGCCAGCGTGGTGTCCCCGGCCCCATGGGGTTCGGTCCGCGACCATCAATGTCGCACGCCGCCGCCTGGGCCGTGGCTCTCGATGGCTGTCGTATGGCGGCGTCGCCGGGATGAGCTGATTTCCATGAGTCAGCCGGGCGACAGTGGGGGTGAAAGCGGTACGTACCACAGCGCGACCAACGTGGCCGACCAGCGGGACGGGGGACGGGAGGGAGATTACCCCAGGGTGACACCTGACACCGGCGCTCGATCGAGGCACATCAGTCGGCCAGTGCAGTGTTTACCGTCGGGCCGCAGGTCTAATGGACTGCCGGGTCGTCCCAGCCGTCCCAGCCGGCCTAGCCAGCCCGTGCCACCGGGTCGCAGTCGCAGTCATCCGGCGCGCGCAGGCGTCGACGCCGCGTGACTTTGGTGCAGAACTGGTGTCCCAGCTGGACGAGTCGTTTGACATGAAGGGTGAAGCAAATGCTTGTTTAAAGTCGCCCGGTATACGTCTTTTGGAGGTTTACTGTGCCACGTTAACATAAAACATGGCACGCAAAAGGAAGCGGAGACCGTTTCGTGATGAAATGACCACTCACGGGCGTGTAATTTCTCCGCTCAGGAATAACGATCATTACGTAACAGGAAATATCTCTGTTCGAATTGCTCTCAGTCTCTTCTGTAACCAATGTGTCCTCTTTTGCGCTGTGGTCCCTGAGAACCACGAATCCTGTTCATTCCACCATTCTTCGCCGAAGCTTCGTGTTTTCTAATGAAAGCGCAATTGAGGTAGGTCGGGTGGGTCACACTGAAAACGTGTATTTAGTTTAAATATAGGTATTTACATCTAGGTCAGTTAATGTGTCATTAGTCTGTTGAGATATGACCCATCAATTATCATTCACCACTGGCCTTTGGCCCTTTGCTCTGTCACCTCCAATGTTATTGTCAGTCTATTTTTCTGCTTTTCACACGGCTATGGAGTGCTGTTTTGTAGCCACACTGATACATGATGCATATGCCCGATAATGATACCGTAAGCATCCAACAACTGTTTTTTAATCTGCTGTTGTCTCCCTCTTGTCACATCTATTTAAGCTTTAACGCAAAAACACGGATGCAGTGTTGCAGTGTCTTATGGTCCAAAATTATCCCATGCCACTCGCAAACCTCGATCACTTATTCACGCTCTCTTGAATGGACCTGCAGCAAAATTCGGAAAATGTTATTTTTCCCTCTTGGGTGTCCATGGGTTCCACCGCAGACCTGCTGTTTGGGGAAACGTGCCTGGAACCGGCTCGGGTTCGCACAGTAGGGGCCCACGCCCCGTAACTGGTAGCCTGCTTAGCGATTTTTCCGCGGTGCTCGCTCCCTTGGCCTATTTTCCTGTCGAATGTCTCGGCTGAGTCATGACTGAACCGTAACGCGTAATCGGCACTTGTAGAGTTGCGCAATATTGCCCCGTTTTGGTGGCATTGCGGGTTGAGATCACTGTTCACAGTGAAAAATATTCCAGTGCAACATCGATTGATGGGGGTGTTGTCTCATTCATTGTCAACAATCAAACGTAAATGATTTTAGATCTAGTTATATTTTTGTTCGCTTTTTTGGTCTAGACGGTGATATGGAAAGCAGTCAATTTTGTATAGAATATCAGTTTGTCAACCATTTTGCGTATGCCCGAGATGTCTGCAAACTATGACGAATGTAGCACTCGCAATGAAGTATTTTTCAGAGTGTGCTGGTCTACTTTACTGGGTCACCGACTGATTATCACATTTAACCACTGTCTCACGATGCCGACAGCCCGACCGTGACCCTGAGTCGTGACTTGGCGTGGTCGGCGGCCGTACAGAGACCTGGTTTTTGGTCGCGCGACCCGACCCCGCGCCCTGACACGGGGTCGTTAAACCCACTTTCTCGTGACGAATCGTGACCCACATGCAATCGTATAAACTAAAGTTCACGGCACGGTTACATTGGCCGCGCCGTATACTTTCTCCGAAGGTTCGTGATTTCCTCACAAAAAGACAACGGAAGTTGCTGAAAAACGCCATGCCAGTCACGACAGGTTTAGCGCAATTTCATGTCGAAAAGATGGCTAAATGCGTGTTAAATGGAGATGCTGCTAGCCTGGGCAGTGTCAGGCCAAGGAAGCCCCCTGCCGTTAATGCCCCGTAAATGGGCGTATAATGACGTTAATGAGCGTTTTGTGTGGCTGCTATGCGGTGTCCTGTGGCTGGTAATGGGGCACTCGCCAACACTTGG